AGAAAGCGTATGATCATGTAGATTGGCATTTTTTGGATTTCGTGATGAACAAGAAATGGTATGGTGCGAGATGGAGATCTTCGATTAGGGGATGTTTGGTGTCTTGCAACATGTCGGTGATAGTTAATGGTAAACCAGGGAAGTGTTTTAAGGCCTCGTGAGGATTGAGACAGGGAGATCCTTTTTCTCCTTTTCTATTCATTTTGGTAGTGGATGTGTTAGGTAGGATGGTTGATAGGGCTAAAGAGGTAGGCTTGTTTGAAGGCTTACAAGTCGGTAGAGATAGGATTAGTGTGTCGCATCTGCCATTTGCGGATGACACTATTTTCTTCTCTACGGGGGATAAGTGCCAAATGGTAAACCTTTTTTCAATGGTAAGGCTTTTTGGGGCACTTTCAGGTCTTAAGGTTAATTTAGAAAAGAGTAGGGTAGCAGGTATTAATGTTGATTCAAGCCTGATTCAGAGAGTGGCTGAGTTACTTGGATGCGGGATAGAGACATTTCCAATGAAGTATTTGGGTCTCCCACTGGGAGGTAACCCAAGAGGTGAAATGTTTTGGAATCTAGCGGTGGAAAGGATAGGTAAGATATTAGAAGGGTGGAGTAGGGCCTTATTGTCCCGTGGGGCTAGGTACACTTTGGTTAAGACAGTGCTAAGTGGGATTCCTATTTATTTCATATCTTTGTTCAAGATTCCGGTCAAGGTAGCAAAATCCATAGAAAAGTTGATGAGGGATGTAGAAATTTAATGTATAAAGAGAAATAGAGAATTATATTATTGATTGATGTATGTTTATTGATATATATTACAATGATTCATGATTCCTATATATAGAAGAGGGTGAGTGTGTAGTAGGTGAGGAGTAGGTGGAGAGTAGGTGAAGTAGGTGAGTGTGTAGTAGGTGGTAGTGGTAGGTGTGTAGTAGGTGGATGTTTAACAGCCCCCCGCAAACTCAAGGGGGATAGGAACTAACCAACTTGAGTTTGGAGAGAGTAACAAAACAAGAAAATACATAAAAATAGAGGATAAGAGACACTGGATGGTCGTGTCAGACCGTTGTAGAAGACTGTATGGTTATGGCAGACCGATGTAGACGACAGTTTATGGGGTCATGTCGGACCGTTGTAGCAGACAATGTTGTGACAGTTGTTGTGACAGTTTACGGAGTCTTGCTGGACCCTTGTAGAAACTAACCGGAATCAATGTCGGGACAGTTTACAGAGTCTTGTCGGACCCATGAAGGAGCTAACTAGAATCAATGTCGGGACAGTTTACAGAGTCTTATCGGACCCTTAAAAAGTCGCACCCTCAAAAGGTGTGCCCAATTTTTCAAAAAGGCGTGCCATCAAAAGGTGAGCCGGAGACGCGGCGAGGCACGTGAGCGACAGAGCGGCGTGTCGGCCGCGTCGTCAGTGTCAATATAAACCAATGCGGAGGCGGAGGAAACCAAACCAGACTGAAACCTCTGAACTTGTCATTCTGAAACAATCTGTAAATACTCTGTATCCAACCCTTCTCGGAAACACTCAGCAACCCAAAAAAAAACATGGCCTCTTCTTCCCGTTCAGCTACCCAGAATATGGCCTCTTCATCCCGTGGTCTACTCACTCTCTTTCCCGACCTCAATGAGTCAACAAGAGAGAGAACTGGTGCGGTGGCCAGTGAACCTCAACCAAACACCTCTGGGTTTGCTCCGTTGAACTTTCCGATGCGGTCGGTGGAGCAAAAAATGGCGGTGCAAACTCTACAAGATTTTGGGTAAGGCATTGTCAAAAAGGTTGAGAGCTTTAGGGGATACAATCTCTCAGACACAAGGGGCTTTTGTGCAAGGTAGACAGATTCTAGATGTGGTTCTAGTGGCAAATGAGGTGGTAGAGGAGTGTCGGAAGTCGGGGAAGTTAGGCCTTGTGTTTAAGGCAGATTTTGAGAAAGCGTATGATCATGTAGATTGGCATTTTTTGGATTTCGTGATGAACAAGAAATGGTATGGTGCGAGATGGAGATCTTGGATTAGGGGATGTTTGGTGTCTTGCAATATGTCGGTGATAGTTAATGGTAAACCAGGGAAGTGTTTTAAGGCCTCGTGAGGATTGAGACAGGGAGATCCTTTTTCTCCTTTTCTATTCATTTTGGTAGTGGATGTGTTAGGTAGGATGGTTGATAGGGCTAAAGAGGTAGGCTTGTTTGAAGGCTTACAAGTCGGTAGAGATAGGATTAGTGTGTCGCATCTGCCATTTGCGGATGACACTATTTTCTTCTCTACGGGGGATAAGTGCCAAATGGTAAACCTTTTTTCAATGGTAAGGCTTTTTGGGGCACTTTCAGGTCTTAAGGTTAATTTAGAAAAGAGTAGGGTAGCAGGTATTAATGTTGATTCAAGCCTGATTCAGAGAGTGGCTGAGTTACTTGGATGCGGGATAGAGACATTTCCAATGAAGTATTTGGGTCTCCCACTGGGAGGTAACCCAAGAGGTGAAATGTTTTGGAATCCAGTGGTGGAAAGGATAGGTAAGATGTTAGAAGGGTGGAGTAGGGCCTTATTGTCCGTGGGGGTAGGTACACTTTGGTTAAGACGGTGCTAAGTGGGATTCCTATTTATTTCATATCTTTGTTCAAGATTCCGGTCAAGGTAGCAAAATCCATAGAAAAGTTGATGAGGGATTTTCTGTGGGAAGGGAACGATGAAGGAAGGAAGGATCATTTCGTGAAATGGGAAACGATGTCCTTACCAAAGGAGAAGGGGGGTTTGGCAGCTGGTAATATAGTGGCTAGAACATGGCTTTGTTGGGCAGATGGTTATGGAGATTTCCAATTGAGCATGGTTCACTATGGCATGCAGTTATCTAAAGTAAATATGGGTTGCATGTTAATGGTAGGGACTCTCAGATGGTTTCTAGGGGTAATGGGCGTGCTCCGTGGAAGTCAATTTCTCATAGTTATCCAGTTTGGTCCCAATTCATTTATGTGAGGGTGGGTAATGGGGACATGGCAAGATTTTGGGAGGATGTTTGGGTGGGTTCTTTGTCCTTAGCTATGTCCTATCCACTTCTGTATAGAGTTTCTCAGTCTCATAATTGTTTTGTTGCGTCCGTGGCTGGTTCTTCGTTGGCTCCTTGTTCGTGGAATTTTAATTTTTTCCGGAACCTTCATGAGAAGGAAGTTCCCGAGTTGATGTCTTTATTGTCAAGGCTTGAAAATGTTTCTTTGTCTCCAAATTTGGAGGATCGGTGGGTTTGGAATATTCATTCGTCGGGCGCTTTTACTTGTAAATCCTTTCTGGACAAAATCATTGATATTTCGCATGTACCTCAGTTTCTGTTTCACAAAAAAATTTGGAAGGCATGTGCTCCTTGTAAGGTGAAAGTGTTCATGTGGATCTTGGTTCATGGGGGCACTTTGACAAATGATTCATTGCAAAAAAGGAGACCTTCGTGGTATCTTAATCCTCAATGGTGCATAATGTGTTGTAAAAGCGAAAAATCTCTACATCATCTTTTTTTGCACTTTTCGGTGGCAGGGCGTTTGTGGCATAGGGTGTTTGGTTTGGGCAATGTACAGTGGGTGGCTCCTAAAGGAGTTGCTCAATTGCTATTATTTGATTTTCAAGTTTTTGGAAGGTCGAAGAGGGCTAAAGTTCTTTGGAGTTGTGTAGTCTTTGCAATCTTCTGGGTCATATGGTTGGAAATGAATGGGCGTGTATTCGAAGGAGGAACTTGGGATATAGATTATTTATGGGATAGAGTGAGATAATTGGTGTCTTTTTGGGCCTCGGAGAGTCCTGTGATCCGAGGGATTTCTCTTTTTTTGATTGCTTTAGATTGGGTGTCAGTTTGTTTTGTATAGTCGTAGCTGGTTGTCTTTTTGTCTTTTGGTTTGGTTTCTTTTTGGTTGTCTTCTTCCTTTTTCTTTCTTGTTGAGGATGCCTTATCCTCTCTTCTTTTTGGCCATGAGCCTTAATAAAATTTATCTTTTCTGTTGCTGATCAAAAAAAAAAAGGAAAAAAAAGAAAAAGAGAGAAATCATGAAGATAAGATGCATAATTGTTCATTTTGAGATGTTTATCTGTGCTACTGCCATATACTAGTAATCTATTTTTGATCAAGTTTGCATCCGTCCCGCTGCCATCGCTTCCCCAGTCCAGCCACCCTGCCGCTCCATCTTCCTCTCTAACCACCTCCCAGAACCCCTTCTCCCCTCATTGCGACCCCCCATTTCCCATACCTAACCCACGCCGGCATCCATCTGCTCTTCGTCAGCCCCTCCAGCATGCCCTCTCTCCACAACCCTGCCACCCTAACATCCCATCCTCCTCCCCAACCATCTCCCATGACCCCCTCTTCCCTTATCGCGACCCCCATTACTCCTCCCAGCCCCCTACCTTCTCACTCCCATCTGGTAAAAATGTTATTAAATAATAAAATTGGGTTAAAAGTTAAAATTAGATTATAGAATTAGGGTGTTGGGTTAATATGTGGTTTAATTTGTTAAATATGTGATTAAGATAGGGAGGGGTGACCATTAGTTCAATGGTTAAGACTTGACCTAATAATCTTGAGGTTATGGGTTCAAGTTTTGGGACCACCACTTTGTGTATTGTGCCAAAGGTTAGGTGTTTACTTAATCTTTCTCCTCCCAAACACACATTAATGTGTACTAATTAGGCGTTTAGGGAATTATTTGTATTTGAGAAGAGAGAAAGAGAATATACATCAGGGTACGAAGGTTGTTTTGCCACTGTTGTTAACAAAGTTAGTTTTGCACTTTAGTCCAAAACATAAGGGGGCTCTTTGCCTATATTTGAACCATAGGGGTGAAGTGCTCTGAGCCGAAACCATGGAAGGGTAAAGTGAATTTTGCCCTAGTTTTTATTTTGAGCATTATTCATCCATTTTATAAATTTCTGTAACAAGTTTCTTATCCATCTTGGAATATTCTTTTTGCCAAGTATTCCTTGGTGCTGTGTAACTTGCATATTCACAGTTTTCAATTTAATTTACAGGTATATAGAGGAACTCTTCCCACTGGGCAACTGGTTGCCATCAAAAGGGCTAAACAAGGATCTATGCAAGGTGGTCTTGAATTCAAAAGTGAGCTTGAGCTTCTGTCCAGGGTTCATCATAAGAACGTTGTCAGCCTTGTGGGTTACTGTTTCGAGCAAGGTGAACAGGTGTTGGTGTATGAGTATATTGCAAATGGTACACTAAAGGAGAGTCTTTCTGGTACTTGTTTCCTTATCTTCTCCACCAATAAAGATACTGATGGTACTTCTTGTGCATCAATTGTTTACTATATTATTAATATAAGGGTAAATTACATTGACCTCTGTTGGGGTTCAGAGGAAATACAGCAAGCCCCACAATTTTGACGTACTTGTATTGGGTTCCCTTAAAGTTTTAATTCACATAACATTTAGGCCCCTTTTCATCAATAATTCATTAGTCATAAGGATGGAAAAATGATGTCGTTTCTTTTACATTGAAATGTATATTTTTTCTTGTTTATCCTTGTGTCTTTGCATAATTTGCATTAGTTCTATCATTCTAGCCTTACAAAAAGGGAGATCGGTGTAATTATGCCAAAATTGTGGGACTTTCTGTGTTTTCTCCAGACTTAAGGGGTGGTCAGTGTAATTTACCATTAATATAATGACAATTTTTTATGTGCAAGTATTCATGTTCATCATCACTCTTTGTACAAGCAAAATACCTTACCTGAGTATTATGTAGTTGAAAAACCAGTAAAAGAAAATCAGGAAAGAGTAGAATATGGGATTCACTATTGTTGAAACTGGAAAAGAAACGTTTCTCCTCCAAAAATGACTTCTCTAGTCGGGGAATGATTAGATATTTACCTAAACCGTAGGTCCTTGAGTGGATCCCACGTTAGCCCCAAGCTATAGCCTCATCTTTCTTAAATCTCAGTTCAAACTTGAATGTTTCACATACCTCCCCTAGCAAAAGGAAAGGGAAAAAATATATTAAAAAAGGGATCCCCAGAGTTAGCTGCACTAACAAACCCACCCCTATGTTTTTTTGGAATATGTGCATTCAACTGACAAGTAATAACTAAAGTGCATATTACATGTACAGGGAAGTCTGGAATCAGGCTGGATTGGATGAGGCGGCTTCGAATAGCCCTTGGAGCAGCAAGTGGTTTGCAATATCTGCATGAGCTCGCCAACCCTCCAATCATACATAGGGACATCAAATCAAACAATATCTTGCTGGATGAATACCTGAATGCAAAAGTTTCAGATTTTGGTCTGTCCAAGAGTCTTCTTTACAGCGAAAATTATCATATTTCCACTCAAGTCAAGGGGACAATGGTCAGTAAATTTCCTTCTAAACCCTAGTTTTGAAAGAACAGAAAATTACTATCAATTAGAAGTTGGATAAAGATTTTCAAAGCATCTTAGTCATAGTTAAAATCTATCAGTTCTTGAAGTTGTCAGTTCTCAGTTATGAGAGATTTTCATGAAGCTGGTCTCAACTAGTCATATCCCATTGGTAAACGAAGAACCAAATCAAATAAATTAAAGCCCCCTATTGTGTTTCAATGAAAACAAAAATTAAAACATGTATTTTTTTCCCATTAAACCCCCCTATATATATGTGTATATATGTATATATGTATTTATTTATTTTTAATAGCTGGTTGAGGGAGAAAAAAATGAAAAAGAAGAAATCACATGGAAGAATATCTTGAAGAAAAAATAGCTATAGGACATTGGAGAATGGGGATTTTTTTCATTATGAACTTTAGTATGGAAAGATATTGTGCATTATGACTTGGAACATTTTTCTACTTTTTTATCAGTCCAATCCCTTACTATGTGCTGGAGGTAACACCATTTCATAAATTTTATAAGACCTACCATCTGCTATCTACATAACTTAGCCCTTGATTGGCTACAAGGCCACTATCAAATTTGGAAATTGATGGGTCGTTTTTCCAATCAAAAATAAATATTAAAAACCAAGTAGAAACTACTATTCCTTAAAATAGCAGTTAAGACCAGGTATCATTCCAACGGGGACAAAGAGGCCAAGTGTACATTAATTTCAGAATAATTCCTACATTAATTCAAGAAAGATTCAAATGGTGATGACTAAATTAATTAAAAACTAAAAATAAACAAAAGCAATATAAAATTGAGTTTAGATATGGAAGTGCAAAGGTTATTAAATTCACCACCAATCTTCTAAGTAAGATTTTTTTTTTTTTTTGGATAAATAAACAAATATTATGAAGAAAGTATCAAGATGTTGTAAAGAATACCAAAAGGCAACCCCACATAGGGACAAAACAAACCCTAACCAATTACATCATCCAAAAAATCTAAAAAAACAAACGTATTCGGATCAACTTTCCTCTCCATCCAACTATACAAAACTACCAAAAGACGACTCTCTAACCAAGAAGCACCATGATAAACCTCTTGAAAAGTTCGCCTATTTTGCTCCAACCAAACAAGCCACATCAAGCAAAACGGGGCCAACACCCACACCCATTGGCGCCGACGTCCAATCCGAGCACCCCGCTAGCTCCGAAGCATATCCAACATCCCCTTTGGTTGAACCTAAACACTCCCAAAGAGCGAACAAATAAAACCCCATAACCACGAAGCCACTGAACAATGAAAAAACAAATGATCCACCGACTCCGCATTTGCACAACACATGCAGTACCGATTCACTAAAACATGCCCACGCCGCAGCAAGTTATCCAACGTGAGATTCCACCCTAAGGCCGCTGTCCACATGAAAAAAGCCATCTTAGACGGAACACCCAGCACCCAAGTACTCTTTCAAGGAAAAGCCCTTCCCACTTCCCTCACCAAACCCCAATAAAATGAAGAAACTGAAAACCACCCCTTTGCACCCGCACCATTCCACACCATAACATCTTGCCCCACTCTAGTAATCCCTAACCCATACAAAAATCCCCACATCTCCACCAACTGAGTAACTTCCCAATCTTGCACCTGTTGCTGAAGCTGAACATCCCAAACGACGACACCTCCGTCCCCCATATAAGATGCCACCATTGCCTCCCGATCAACCGAATTATTGAAAATCAAAGGAAAGCAGTCCCCCAATAAAACCCCACCACACCACTTGTCCTTCCAAAACTGCACCTTCCTTCCATCACCCACCCGAAATCCTACCCAATTTCAAACTCCACCCTTCCCAACCAAATCCCTTTCCATGGACCACAACCATGAGTACCAGTCACATCCCCAGGAACCCAATCCCCCCTTCCCACCCCATACTTTGAAGCCACCACCTTTCACCATAACCTATCTTGCTCCTAGGCAAAACACCATAACCACTTTCCCAGCAAGGCTATATTAAAAGTCACCAAACACCTTTAGATTGATAGATTTGCCCTCAATCAACCAAATGATACCTAAACTCATCCCCTCCACTATCCCACAAAAAATCCCTTTGAAGCTTCTCCAACCGCCGCACCACCGACACTAGAATAACGTGCACAGACATGAAGTATGTGGGATGCTGCTCAACACACTCTTGATCAAAGTCAACCTTCCACCTTTAGAAAGATATTGCCTCTTCCATCCCGCTAGATGATGCTACACACGCTCCACCACTCCATCCCACACCCTCGTCACCTTAAACGACGCCCCTAGCGGCAAGCCCAAATACAACACAGGCAAAACCAAAACCTTGCATTCCAAGACTGCTACTAAAACTGGTAACCTATTAACCTCCCCAACCGGAATGAGCTCCGATTTCCTGAAGTTAACCCAGAGGCCCAACACCACCTCAAAGTAAAGCAAAAGATATCTCAAATATCCCACCTGCTCCACTTCAACACCGCAGAAAATCAAAACATCATCCGCATATAATAAATGTGATATACCAATAGGAGTCCTAGACAAAGATCCCACAACAAAACCTTCCAACAAACCTTTATGCACTGCTCCAGCCAACAATCTGCTCAATGCCTCTATCATCAAAATAACTAGCAAAGGTGACAAAGGATCCCCTTGCCGAAGACTATGATATGTTGGAAAAAACCCGCTGGAGTCCCATTGACCAAAACAGATATCCGCATAGTCGAAACACAAAACATGATCCATTGGCACCAAGTCTCCCCAAATCCCATACGATCCAACACATACCATAGAAACTCCCAACTAACGTTGTCATATGCCTTCTCAATGTCCAACTTACAAATCAACCAAGGCGCCCCTGACGAGTCCGAGGATCCACACACTCGTTGGCAACCATAACTGCATCCAAAATCTGTCTACCCCCTACAAACGCATTTTGAGATTCAGACACAACATTCTGTAAAACTCCTTTAAGTCTATTTGCCAACACTTTAGCCAATAATCTATACACACTCCCCAACAAACTAATAAGCCTAAAGTCACGAACATCCTTAGCCCTCCCTCCTTTCTTAAGAATTAAAGCCAGAAAAGTCACATAAAACTATTCTCAAATTGTCCAGCCACAAAGAAAGCCTCCAATGCCGCCATTACATCTTCTTTAACCACGCTCCAACAATGCTGGAAGAATGCCATATTGAAACCATCCGGTCCTGGAGCTTTATCCCCATTCATGGCCCTTAAAGCCCAACTATCTCTTCCTCTGGAAAAGCTTGTTCTAACATCAGAATGAATCCCATCCAAACCCGGACGCCATGTCCCCTCTTGGGGTCGGAACAAATACTGATAAAATCCCACAACCCCTTCTCTAATCTCTGCATCCGTACACAGTTGTCGACCCTCCACCTGCATCTGGCTAATCTGATCAACCCGACGGTGTGCTTTGGCCATTTGATGAAAAAATTTCGTATTTCGGTCTCCATCCTTCAACCTCAAACAACGAGATTTCTGTCTAAAACAAACCTCCTCCATGCTAGAAATATAAACAAAATCCTGTCTAGCTGCCTCCTTTCTAACCACATCCTCACCAGATAGTCCCCCTTGTGCCTCTGATTCATCCAAAGCTTAAAGTAAAGACACCACCTTTGCCTTTTGGGCCTCTATCCGACCAAATACCTCCTTATTCCATTTTTTCAAATCTCCTTTAAGCAATTTCAATTTATGAGCCAACATACAACTAGGCAATCCAATAATCCCATAACTACTCCACCATCCACGAACCAACTTTAAAAAGCCGTCCATTTGCAACCACATATTCTCAAAACAAAACGGCGTGGGACCGCAACAAATCCCGCTACTATCAAGCAAAATGGCCAATGGTCAGACACTGGCCGAGGAAGACGAATCTGAACAACCTTCGAGAAATGCTCCTCCCACTCCCCGGTAATCAGAAATCGGTTTATTCTAGACAAATTCCAAGTGAAGCTTCCCCCTTGGAGAGGTAAATCAATTAGCTACATATTATCTATAAAAGAACAGAAAGCCCGCATTGAGCCCAAGACCCGAGTATTCCCCACCTTCTCCGTCGACCACCTAACAACATTAAAATCAGCTCCCATGCACTATAAGACATGCCATCGAAACGTGACATTCTCCAACTCCTCCAGAAACATTTCCCACTCTAAATTCTGCACCGGACCATACACCCTAGTAAAACCCCAACGAAAGTTCTCCTCCACACACCGAAACAAGCAAGACACAAAAAACCCTCTTACCTCCTCCTTCTCCTCCCTAATCACCACCCTCTTGTCCCAACAAATAAGAACCTCACCCGCTGTACCCAACGCCGACAGATATGTCCACTCCACAAATCTCCCCCCCACTCTTCTCGTACCATGTCCACCCCTAACACCTCCATCTTTGTTTCCTGTAAACACACCACATCAGCCTTTGCATTTCGCAACACCGCCCTCACCGCCACCCTCTTGTCCTTGTCATTCAAACCCCGCGCATTCCAAGATAGAATTTTTAACTTCATTTCAACAAAAGTGGTCCCCCACGGTTTGTTCTAAAACCCCGTCCCGCATTCTTCACTCCATGATCATAATTAACAGTGCATGCTAAATTCCTAAGCTCCCAATTCCCTTTATGCCAAGATACTCAAGGCGTAACCATCCCTTTACTAGGAGTCCCTTGCTGCCATGATGCCTCCACTGCCGAAAATAACTGCAAAGCCTCATCTTCATGACTTTCAAAAGACAAACCCAGACACCGACTAACTTCATTAATGCGTTGTAGCACCCACTCCAACACTGCCTCAGCCAACGGCACCTCATTCCCATCCAACCCACCAGCATCATCCAGCACAATGTGAGTCTGCCCCTGAAACTCCTTTAGCAAACCATCCTCCACAGCTAGGGGTTGCAACACCATCAGCATTGTCTTTCCACCATTGTCGTCCCCCTATCCAT